AAAAAAAAAACTTTATTGTGCAATTGAGAGCATCCGTTAGTAGCGGTCAGTCTTCAGGATCTCATTATATACAAGGGGAGTAAAGGTGCACAGAGTAGAGAGGAGAAATCCAACAGGAGGCGTAATAAAGTGAACACACTATTGTTTTAGCACTTATACATAATGAATGAGGGATGTGCTTCTGTGTTCAGTCCTGACTTTACGAGGGAAATTATGTAAATTTTGTTCCTAAGTAACTTTTTAATTAAATGCGGAACATAATATGATAAAATTGCTCATTTATTCATCAATTTAGCTCCTCTCAGTTCATACATAGTAAATTTCGGAGGGGGCGAATAATTTGCGAGTGTTTTGCCGAACGCAATTTTTTCCCCATTACTTCTCATCATATGGTTGTGAAAAAAAAAAAAAAAGAGAGAAAGAGAGAGAAGTCTGTCTCTTTGTTTCTGCTACAGGCCCATGAAGGCATCTCAGCTTATTAAGGTGACGCCACCTGTTTCAGAATCCAGGCAGCCATCTCGTGTCCACAATCAAAGATGACATGAAACTCCTTTGCCTTCTTCATCTCCTTCAAAAGTGGCTTGGCGTCCTTGGTCTCTGTGGGCAGCTGCCGGATCTTCAAACGAATGTTGTATCGCGACGGAGCCTTGATCAGCTCCTGCAGTCGAATGAGACCTGCGGACAAAGAGGACAGCACATAGCATGAAAGAAGAGTTTTAAAGATGGAGCAAAATACCGTGTTTGATCTGTCGCCATTTTGAAGCATCTCTGATTCTAAGGGTTGCCAAAAAAAAAAAAAAAAAAAAAAAAATGGAATCGGAGTTTCTCAGCAGAAAAAGGCTCATATGCATGCCTTTCTAATCCACACTCTATTGATCCTCCTACACATGCTTGGCAAGCAAACAGACTGCTACAGACCTATCAAGAGAATGCTACACCACGCCACCACATTGCTTTTAAACCAAAAGCGCAAAAACATGAAAAAAAAAAATAAAAAAAATCTCGATCTGCACCCTCCTACATTAACTCCCAATCTGACAGCAGCCTGCAAAATGTTGATTTGCTCCTTGTGTTCCACGACACCACACAAAAGCGCCGAATGGGTTCAATTTTATCCTGATGGAAAGCCGCGGTCAATTCTGCCTCTTCTGTCTTTTCACACACACTTCAGATGTGTTCTGACGAGAGAGAGAGACTGTTTGCCCAGCTTGTACTTCCCCCCCCGCGCCCCCCTGTGGGGGAGCCTGACGCCGCCGTCACATATTCAGCTACAATCTTCACCTTTCATTTCTCGACCGCACACTCAGGTAGACGGCTCTCCAGGAGACTCTGTGATGAGATTACAATGAGTTTCTCCCTCAGTAAAGAACTTCAGAGTCCAGGGATGAAAGGGGCTGGATTGATAGGAGAGATGATTACTTGTCATGGGTATAAAAATGGATGGAGCAGAAAGGGTAGTTTGAGAGGGAACTGGAGAGAGATAGGATTTTTTTCTTTTTTTCGTTTTCTTCCTGTGGAACCTCTTTAAGTTAGCTCAGCCATTTTTTTTTTTTTTTTTAGGCAAAGTGCTGTGTGCGCAGTTTAATGGCCTCACTGTGCGTACGGCTCGGTCTCCCCGAGGCTCCGCAGAAAAATTGGTGTGAAACAGATCCACGCAAGTCTAGTCGTGAAAGGAACTACAGTAGGAAGGGATTCTAAACCTCCGAGAGTTGTCCCCAGGTAATCCCTGCAGATCCCCACTCTGGGGCATGTCTGCTTCTCCCTGTTTTTGTTCGTGATGACACTTTGGGAGGTGTTAAGCAAGGAAAAAAAAAATCTGTCAAGGGAGCTCAGCGTTTGGGAAACATTGTCAGTGTGGATGTTTGTGAGCTCTGGCTAATGCCTTCAGACTTTCCCCCTGGATCTTCTAACGGCCGTGTGTGAATATTTTATCCCCTCCGATAGTTTTTCCTGCCAGCCGTCAGATAGACTCCAATCAGCAGTGCAGGGCCCTGGAGCATGAAGCTGTGTGATTACAGCCTGAGACTGGGACCGGGCGGGAAGCGGAGCGGGGCTACGGAACACGGCTACGCAGCTGTCACACTCTTCAGAAAGTCAGGTGTCGTACAGCAGAAAAAAAGAAGAAAAAAAAAAACAAAAACATATCCAGACAGGAGGCCCAAGATACCTTCGACTGACAGAGAGGGGAAAGCGAGAGGTTATCTGTTGGAATCTCTGGGGAGGGGGGGGGCAATTTTAAAGGGATTTAGGATGGGAAAAGCGCCAAGCGCCGAGGAGTGGAGTGACGAACAGTGATGAAGATGAGTCAAAATAATGCGGCAGTTGGGCTTTCGAGACACAAGCCGAGGTTGTAATGGTGCTAGAATGCGCCAGGATTGTCTCTTTCCTGATGCTTTTCACATTTTGTCATGTCACACCAACAAACTCCAAATAATTTTTTTATAGAGACCGTACGAGACAGACCAACATAAAGTAGCTCACAATTTAGACGTGGAAGCAAAGAAATACATGGCTTTCAGAAATCTGTACGAATAAAAGCCCGGAGAATCTGGAGTGCATTTGCACTCGGCCCTCCTCTCTCCTGTAGAAACACCTTTCACTGCAATTACAACTGCAAGTCCTCTGAGGTACGTTCCTACCAGCTTTTCACATCTGCAGATTGACAGCTTTGCTCATTCTACTTTGCAAAGTAGCTCAAGCTCGGTCAGACTGCACAAAGGGGTGTCTGTGAACATCAGTTTTCGAATCTCCTCACGGATTCTTAATTGGATTTAGGTCTGTACTTAACAGGACTATTCTTGCACACGAAAACGACCGAGTCGAAAGTATCACTTTGCATCTCTGGTGATACGTTTTGAGTTCCTATTCGGTTGGACAGTGAACCTCTGGCCCCAGTCTGTATTTTAAAAATGTTTCTTCAACAATCAGTTTGTACCACTTTAAATGGTTTTAGTTTTACTCCAAACACTCCGTTTTGCACATCATTTAGTTTGTTCATTTTTGATCTCGTATGTCCGCTTGTGACTTGTCTCAAACTACAGACAAGATGTCTTATGGTTTGGTTGCACCAGTGGCTTTCTTTGTGGTTCTCTTCCATTACGGGTAGCATTTTCGTGGAAGAGTAAATGTTGTACCGTCAAGAGATTCTTCCATCTGAGCTGAGGATCTCTTCAGCTCCACCATGTTTACGAAAGGCCTTTTGGCTGCTTTTTAAATTAATGCTTTCCTTGCAAAGCCCTGTCAACGTGAGTTGGTAGTAATGTTGAGGGTTGTTTGAAGTTGTGCCATACTCCCAATATTCAGATGATGAATTGAGCAGTAAACTTCACTCCAAACTATTAGTCTAGCCTGTCTGCTGTGCTTCTTGGTTTTAAAGATGCCACTTGTTCGTACACGGAAACCATTTTGTCTAATTAGGTGACCTCTGGAGAAAATGTCTTGTTCAAAAATTCGTTTAAGGAAATCAAACTGAAAGTGAGTGAAGCACATGTGCACTGCACCACTTCTTTTTATTCTTTATTATTTTATAAAAAAAAAAAATAAAAAAAAACTTAACACGACAAGAAGTCTTAAGGGGTACGAATTGTTACGAAAAGCACCGCATGTGGACAAAAGCAACAAATCAATGTTTTATATATTTAGCGGCACAATTACAAATGACAATTGCAGGGCACGATCCAATCGAGCGAAGCAGGGAATGAATTCATTAGACAATCTGTCTAAAGTCTAGAGTGCGATTCTCCTTGCGTCTCTTTGTAAATTACTTAGATTTAGTTGTCAGCCACATCACGCCAAATAGCTCATAAATTGAGGATAAGCATTTGAATATTGTCATCTTCTCCGGAGCGACTACACTGCACCTCATAAAAGTATCACTGTACTCAAGCTAAAATATGACTCGCCTTTTAAAATGCATATTATGAGGCACTCCACAAAGTTACAGCACAGACAGAATAGCTCGCAGACACATTTGATAGCCACCCTCGGAGATCAAGTGTCTCTGTGTGTTATTAATGGCTGTTGTCAGCCCCCACATACTACAGTTTTGCATTGCATTAAGCTGAAGAGACACAGGGTCATTCTGGGTAATTTTTTTTTTCTGAGTTTTATTTCTGTCCTACTGTTCAGTCTCTCGGAAGACTGACATTGGCAGCACCTGGAGGAATAAGACAGAACAGTAAGCTATTGATTTCTGAATTAACTTGACAGGTTACAAAGCGTCCTCTGAACTCTCGGGAGCAGTGTGGCACTTTGCAGTTCATCCGCTCCCTGTTTTTTTTTTTTTTTTATCTTTATTCCGAGACATTTTACGGTGTGAATGCAGAGAATAAGGACAGACACCGACTGTACCTGTACCTGTGCTGTCGTCATAGACCACGGTGACAGTTCTCCACTTGAAGAAGTGCACCAGGTCGAGGATGGCTCTGCTGAGGGAGGAGAAGTCAGGATACAGGCTGACATAGTACGAGTCTCTGTTGTCAGACACTTGATGCTTCCATTTGGTCTGGATGTGGGGCACTCCCAAAGCGTTGCAGATGGACTGGACTGCGTTGGCAGAGGAGCTGTGCGAGGGGCCAAAAATGGCTGCCACTCCAAGAGAAAGCTGGTCACATGCTGGCATGGAAGAAAGCAGAAGTGTACATTAGGTCAGTTTTCTTTTTCTAGTGGGAATCTAAATTGAATCATGTTTCACTAGATTAACTTCAGTACTAATTTTTGCACAAAGATGTTGTCACACGAGGAGAAGTGTATCTTGGATTCATAAAACGAATTAGAAGCTATACATTATATGCCATATAATAAAATAGATACATGTACGTACATGTTGATGAAGACAAATATTTTTTTTTAATTTCAACGTAGATATATATTTTTGCTTTTATTAGATCATACTTCTAAGTTTCTTTTTCAGATGCAGAAACACAAACGTTTACGGAAGCTAATTTAAAAACAAGCCATTTCTGTCTTCTAATTAGATTATGCTTTTGTACACATAGTAAAGCACCGCCAAAATTACACTAAGCTAATATAGTTGTGCAAGAAACTATTGCATTTACGCACAACTTCATTTAAATGCACCAGATTTTCCATTGCTTTGAGAAGCAAATGGAGGAGCCCAACAGAATGATTTTGGACATTTTGAGCCAAGTTTCCTACTTTTGGTTAAAAATCCACATGAGATAAGAGGGGAATTTTCAGGAGTCTTATAAAAAGGAATAATTAGAACAGCAGAAGCCAATTAAAACTTGCTAGGACTTCCAAGGCATAAGGTTATGCTGTGAAATTTTAAAGTTCAATAAAGTACCATATAATATAGTGCAATACAATAAAATATAGGGGGACACAGTAATTGTAAAAAAAAAAAAAAAAAAAAAAAAAAAAAAAAAAAAAAAATATTTTTTTATTTATAAGTATATTTATTTTTT